GAGAGAGAGAGAGAGAGAGAGAGAGAGAGAGAGAGAGAGAGAGAGAGAGAGAGAGAGAGAGAGATTATACATTTAGACCACAGATATCTCATCCATATTTTCCATGCCTGTGGGTGTAAACGGAATGGCTTTACGTGTCGTTGTTGGAAACTCCATAGTCACTCGAAGTACTGCTAGAGCCTAGATGTCATTTCCAAGCCGGATTGCAGTTGAGCCACCAGTGCTGGAGAGAGTACTGCATGGTGAATGATATTGTTCGTTTACAGCGCTGAGGAGAAAGCATTGCTGGATGCCGGTATTGTTTGGACAGTGGGAGGATGTGAGTAGGAGATTGCTGGAGAAGATGGTGAAACGGTTTCACCCAGTTGACCCGGCATTGCAGACACAGAGATTCGACCCCTAGACCTGTGCCCTAACTCTGTACATTGAAGCTGTGTGCTGAGTGAGATTCGATCCCTAGACCTACCCTGTACCCTGTACATAGGCCCAGCAATCTGTGTGAGACTCGATCCCTAGGTCTGTAGATGTTACGTGCTGCGCCTGCAACATGCTGCACGGGCCCCTTTCAGGCCCGTGACGTTTTCAGGCCAAAAGCCTGAAAACAAGGGCCTATAGGCCCTGTGTCGTTTCAGCCTGAAAGCCTGAAAACAAGGGCCTACAGGCCCTGTGACGTTTCAGGCTAAATCCGGGTCTTTCGGGCCCTGAGTGTTTTCAGCCTGAAACTGAGGGCCATTCTCAGGCCCTCATCAGTTCGACCCGCCCTGAAACTCAGGCAACAAACCAGGGTTTTAGCACAGGCCATTTCAGGCCTGTTTTCAAGACAAGCCCTGGTTGAGCTTCAATGCCAGGGTCTGGCACGTTTCGGCTTTGGGAAGAGCAGCCTCCTGGACGGGACAGCACTATGTAGGACTGGCCCGCCCTGCAGGCCAGCAGGTAGTTCCTAGGTACTTCCCAGGCACTTCACGTGCAGTTCAGGAGGCAGGAGGTAGTCTTCAGGATTCGGCAGCAGCACTCTGGAGGAGCGCTGCAGCAGCGCTGGGCGCTAGTAGCGTTAGCAGTACCCAGCGCTAGTTGGAGCTAGAGTAGTACTGGAGAGAGAGAGAGAGAGAGAGAGAGAGAGAGAGAGAGAGA